GCGTGTTACCCCACAATTGACTGGGGTTCCACTAAGTGAATGCCACAGAGGCCGCAGTAAGGAGCCACTTAAGTATGACTCTCAGTCCGCCAGTTGGCCATTCCATATAAACACACACTGAGCTGAGTTATCCCGTCAGCCGGCAACCGGAAGAATAATAAAATGCGATGAAAATTGAAGCGACATTAAGTCCATAACCAAGTCCCAGTAGTCCGTTAACACCACCCTCGCCCAGGCAGTCCGAATTAACTAAAAATAACCAGGCTAAATGGATAATCCCTCGCAGACTGCTTCCCCTGGGTTTATTTCTAGTCTGGTTTGCTGTCGTGCAGAAGGAAAGCCAAACAAAGGGTTGGAAGCAGAAATTCTAAATTCGGGGGCACTTTGTAGCACGTGGGAAAACTAACGAAACAGAAGCAGATAGGGAAAGAAAGTGTTACCTTTACAAGCAACTCCGTCGGTATGTTTATAGCTGAATGATGTTGCGCTAGAGGAACCACGCTGCGAATGTGCGTCAAAATACCTTGCGCCTTACCCAGGTGCGAAAGGGCGTGATCCAGTTCAACCGACCTAATGCCTTAAAAAGACATAAATACCACCAATGATACTCGAATATTCCTGATTTCAAAAAACTCACATGAGTTAGATCGCTTGGGAAAAGGACTAGAAGTACAATTTTTTTAGCGTCAATAATAATCTCAACGATCAGTGGTACAGCCATGGGCAATGTTGAAAATTCGGCTGGTAATTTGCGCTTAATACCGTCATGCCAATCAAGCTAGGAGTTGGGCAGTGCTGGCGTAAGAAATCAGCCGGGTGGAGTGTCATTAAGGGTTATGCCATGGTGAAGTAGTAAGCAGAAGAAATTTTCGGAAAATCAGGTCTCATGGGAACAGCCATCTCTGGCTTCTATGTTGGTGTTAGCTGTTCAGTCCAATTTGAAAGTTTGTCTCACAGAATTTTACTTAATAATTAAATGCTACATTACAATTATCTTATATGGCGTTTTATGAAGATGCGTCCAGGAAGAACTGCTACGAAAATATCCAAAAAATAGCATAAAAGGCAAAACGGCGCAATCTTCAGCAAGTAATGGAAGAGCAGACACACCGAAAGATTCTGCCAACATGTAGTAGATAGGAGCATTTGTCATTTCTGCATAGCGTTCCAGTTCTAGACAAGTTGCAAAAGGAACTCCATCGGCACGATTTGCCTAAAAAGAAGGTGAAGACGTTGCAGGACTACAGAAGATGATCTTACTCTGGCCTCCACGAGCATTGAAAGCCATCTGGGGGAGAATCTGAACCGTTGCATGGCCTGTTAGGAGACGATGGTCATGAGACTGCCGAAAGTTTACTGACCCAGATTAGTTCCCGCTCCATGGGGGATCGAAAAACGCTTGTCGAGGAAGGATCCTTGGAGACTGCTTCGATCGCATCCAACCAATAACGGAAACGAATATTGGCAATTTCGCGGGTGCGAGCTCTGTCAGTCACCTGGATATCACAATGAAAACAGGACGCAACGGGATTAAAGGGAACCCCATTTAGAAAACTAAGACAGTGTCATTTTAGCTAATGTTTCACACTACCGCTACCAGTACGCGTGTGCAAATACTACGGAGAACTGGAATCATTGAGCAACAAAGTGGTAACATAAGGAAAACTTATCGCAAAAAAGTTCAATGAGGGACGATTACCTGAGCTATTTCGGCGTTAAATGCTCGGAGAAAACAGGCAAAACGCCTGTGACTGGGTGGCAAGTGAATGGCGCAGATGTAGTTGTAATAATCAGCTTTTCTGTATATAACAAGGTAATTGGGTTAGAGAAAGCTTACTTCGCCAATTCCATACAGAAATTTTCATCGCTGGAAAGGGCTCTCTGGGCCCTCACGAGTAAACCACGCCGGGAAAGTCGTAGAGACATCGAGTACACGAGCATGGCGCCTGGAAAATAAAACAGGTCTACTATGACAATTAGGTTAAATCTGAGTATAAACATCTCGGAAACACGGGCTAAAATGCCAAGAGGTGGCTTAAATTACTAAGGGGGGGGGTTCATTTTAACTCGATTCTTTGCAATAAGATAATCCTGCATGTGTTATATAAACAGCCCAATGAAATGGCTACGGTTTTCATGTACGCTTAGTTACCATCAACGCCTTTGACATATAAGACGGATATTCTTAGTTCCTGATATTCCGCGGCTAGAAGCAGTTAAAGTATGAATACACACAACAGCAACCCATCAAGCATGGAGGCGAAAGAACGCGACTACAGTCTTTCTATTAAGTTTCGCGTCATAAAGATAGCGTTTTTAGCAGTTGGCAAATTGGGAATATCATTTGTCAATACGAAGCTTCCGCACAAAGGAGTGGGGCTTCTGAAAAAATCTAACAAGGTGACGGGAAATACATGGCATCCGGAAAGGGGCACGAAGTGAGACTAAAGTCGGATAAATTATTACAATTTCTCCGATGCCAACACCGACTTAGGTTTCAGGAATACTCCAACATAACATCTAAGATCCATTAAGTCAGTAACAGAATGCAAGTCCAGCACAACATGCTATGTGAAATCTACTCCATTCGCACTTGTGGAGTCAATACACGTATGTTAGCCTTTGAATTAACCTATAACCTTTAAAGAATAGATGGCAAAAAACTTTTTTTCCCAAAACCTAGCAACCGAGGGCATTTGGGGCCTGGTACATCAGAGTACGACGAATTTCTAAATTAGTCTTCCCAACGTCCAGAGATAGAAAGGTGCTCAGTAAAAATGTAGCAGGTGTCGTCATACCAAAGTACAAACTAGACTGAACCCTGTATTCAAGAAGTCTGAAGTGGAACAATCTTAGTTAGATAATTACGAGGAAAGTTTGCAGACAAGGGTTTGGACAGTCCATCCAGTAGTAATTCCATACCGAAAAACAATTTTACTGACCAGCGCGGAAAACTCTACCTCTTAGAGTTCGAATTCTTTGAGGAAAGTCAAGATGAATATCAGTCACAAATAGCTGTTTTCGTATCTGTTGTGCATCTAAAAAAAAAAGGAATTGCGCCAAATGTGATCTGCAATCAACTATCAAATTTGAAAGGTCAAAAATACACAAACTATCTATAATCTTTTACGTTAACTAAATTGCTAGCTGTCAAAAGTTAACCCACTCTTTTGATGCAGATTTCAAATACCGTCAGTGGTAGTTCACGTGAACATAATTGTCTTCATTTTCCACTCACTGTTATCATTTTTTAATGCTTTTCCCGAGCTATCATTTTTTGGCGCACTCTTTCGCCTAATAAGGCTTGAACAATGCTCATGTTTTTTT